ATAGCCAGGCCGAGTGTGCGGGTGCGAGTGGTGGTCTTTGGGTAGGAGTCGCATGCAGAGGGGAGACAAGGGGTGATGAGGAGAGAGAGAGAGAACATACCTGATGTATACTGGTGGTTCGCATTGGTGTTGTCGTCACGTACATTGGTCATCGACTTCGATGTGATCATGTTGCAAGAACGTAGACAGGGTAGATAGGCAGAGTAGGATAGGCTGGGCGCTGGGAGCCAGACATTAAGTGCGACGTTGGATACAGTGTTGGTGTGACCAGAGAGTGGCGACATTGACACCTAAGTTCATTGTATTGCTCTTATTTGGACAGTATCTTGGTGCATTGCACTCTCTGCTTCATTCATGACTATCTGAGCTTCTTCGCGATTTTGCAACTTGTTTTTCTGACTATCGCTCTTGCTCATATTCCTTACATGTGTGTCTCAGTCCGTGTTTGGCAGGTCATTAAAGCACTGTTTTTCATTATTATATGCCTAATCCTTTTGCTATGTAAGGGGGTTAAAGGGGGGGATGCGGTCATCCAGTGACACCGACCCTGGAGAGATGGCAAGTTCATTACGATCCAGTCAGTTCGCTCTTCATTTATTTTTATTTTTATTTTTTTTCAAAGAAACTCCAGCTATTGGTGGGGAGCCTCACCTGCTGGAAACCGGGTCCAGTGTCCCTTGAATACATCCAGTCAGTTCGCTCTTCGAGTCGAGCTCACGTCTTTTTGTCGGATGTGCACTGTGGAGCGGATAGGGCTTGGTGGTATAGCCTTAAGGGACCCTTCAGTCTCAGACTGTTCCGACAGCATATCCCCCTCTACCCCAGGGGGTGCCGGGGATACGGTCGATTCCTCACCCTTGATTGCCAACGGTGATTGGGGTCTTGCTGTCTCCTGGCCATCCATAACGTTTTTTTCTTTTTTGCTGCGCTGTCTGGCAGGATTGGTGATCTGCCAATTTGAAATCCTTTTGAGTGTCCTGATCCTGATGAAGCTTGACTGCCGTGTATTGACTCACTCTACTCGCAGACGTTGAGGCGTGAGCTACTGCTGCTGCAACTGCACCTGTGCCTGCTGCGCATTGGCGAGCTCAGCCTTTTTTTTAAATAACAAAACCAGAACAACTTTACTAGGGGGGGGTGATACTAGAAACCTCCCCTAAATTAAATACGCGTTCTGCTTACTCCAATCTATTTGGTGGGGAGCTGCACCTGCTGAAAAACGGGTCCAGCGTCCCAATTGGAATACATCATTTGGAAAAATTGGAAGTCCTGAAGAGAGGTGTGATCCTTGACTGCCAGCATTGGCTGCCCCAGTGTACTGGGGCGCTAACTGCGCAGCGTCCCATGAGATACAAACTAGTTCAAATCATGAGTGATGTAATGGGTACAATGCATAAGGGTTGGGGCCCCGCTTCAGTTCCCAGGAACCTCCAGATATGTCCTCCAAAACAAGCTACCCCCACCCCTGACAAGAATCATTCACTGCAAGACAAACCTCTCAGACTGTTATTCTTCCACCAAGCCAAGCCACTGCATATTCACCAGAGCGAACTCAGAAGGGGGAAAAGGGTCACAGCAACAATCTGGAGATCTTAGCGAGGCTCCTGGTTGAAGCAAGAACCAGAACCCGAGGACGAGCGGAAAGTCTCTTCCCGTGTTGTTCTAGCTCTAGCGTCTGTGTGTTGTTGCTGCAGGGTTGATTCCTTTGTTAACGGAGTTGGAGTAAGTGTGCTTGTTGCAGGATTTGGGGAACAGATACTGAGTGAGGCTCCCGGTGGAAGTGTGTGTGAACAATCTCTGTGTTCCCGATGGACCACGGATCGGATATGAAACTGATCAGAACATATACTAGACTTGATCTTCGCCAAAAGGCCTGCTGATGAGGAGGGGCATAGGTAAAACTCTGCTATTGCTGCGGCAATGATGGTTGTACTGTCTCACAGAGTTGCGGCTGCTGTAAATGCTGACTTGGGGAGCCGTCGCTGCAACCACAGTTGTTGCATTTCTAACATTCGTAGTGCTGTATTCGAACAACCGTTATTCGTTCTATTCAAATTTTCAAATTGTCGTCGAACAATAAGGCATACGCGTTCTATTCAATTTTTTGAAAACACGAATAGAACACGTGTTAAGTTCAGGGGAAGGCGGTAGCGCTCTGGTGCAGCCATTGCGTTCCTTGCTCATCTAGAGCTTGATGCTACTGCTGAGTGTGGTTTGAAGTCAGCTTCAGCTGCAGCAGCAGTTGCCTTTTGTTAAGCCTCGCTCATTCCCTGAAGATGTTGCTGTTGTTGGTCCTGATTTAAGTCCTGTTGGGGCTCTCTTGGCTGGTTCCTATCCTGCTCTTCTTGCTGCAGTAGTACCTGCTGGTTCGCTTGGGCCCTGACTGCCACTTCTTGCTGTTTGCGCCGCTGGATTTGGATAGAGGCCTGCAGCTACTGTTTTCACGTCTGGGTCTTTCTTGCTCTTGATGTTGCTGCAGAGCCTGATCCACAACCTGCTGTTACAGAAACAGCTGTTGGTACGCATGCCCGCTGCTGGAGCTTCCTGGGACTGCTGCTGTCCGGGTTGTGATTCGGAAGGTGACTTTCTGCTTGAGGTAGGCTGATTTGCTTTCAGGATGTTTTTTTTTTTTTTTGGGTGTGGTCAGATGGACCACGGATCAGATATTAGGGCCTCGCCACAGCAATGTCGAAACGTCACGAAATTCGACATATGTCAGGAAATTTTTGACATTCCTCTTTCGACAGAAAAACCCTCTTCGCCACACAGCATGTCGAAGTGAAGAACTCACCAGTCGTATGCACAAAAGAGACAAACTGGGGTGAAGATAGGGCAAGCGTTGGTGCGTTCTCTTTTTCGACATTCAGGCAAGAATTCGACATCCCATCCGAGGACTGTTGAAAATGTCCAAGTTGCAGGCTGGGAAACGAGCCCTTCTCGAGAGGAGGTGTCGAAACCCTTTCCCTGACAGCTCCTGAATTTTTTTTGCATCTAGGATTTCGACATGCTGTGTGGCGAGGAGAAAATGTCGAAAATGCAGTTTTCGACATTGGTGTGGCGAGGCCCTTAAACTGATCAGAACAGATACTACACTTGGTCTTTTTATTTATTTATTTGTTTTGACTCCACTTGAACTTAGCCAAACATGTGGGGCCGCAGCAGCGACGCTGCGGCGATGGGGAGGGGAGGGAGGTGGGGGGGAAGAGGGCAAAGAGAAGGCAGTGGAGGAGGGGGAGAGGAAGAAAGAGTGTGAACGCCACTTGCCGGCCTTCCACCCTCTCAGTTCTCCCCCCCTCTGTCTTCCCCCTCTACTTCCTCCCACCCGCATTGCCCCGACTCCCCACCCGCCGACAGGCCGATATTTTTTCCAATCGATCAATGAATCAGTCAACCAATCAACCGAGCGCCCCATCAACCTTCCACCCGCCCGATTTTCCAACCAGAAAACAAAAAACAAATCAATCAATCAGTCAATTAATCGATCAAATTGATTGATTGATTGATTGATTGATCGACTGGCTGTGTGTGTGTGTGTGTGTGTGTGTGCGTGTGTGTGTGTGTGTGCGTGTGTGTGTGTGTGTGTGTGTGTGTGTGTGTGTGTGAGAGAGAGAGAGAGAGAGAGAGAGAGAGAGAGAGAGNTGTGTGTGTGTGTGTGTGTGTGTGTGAGAGAGAGAGAGAGAGAGAGAGAGAGAGAGAGAGAGAGCGTCCCCGTCCACCTCTCCAGCGCCCCACCCCTCTCCACCCTTCCCTCCTTCCGCTTTTCCTACCCGCCTCCCCCCCATTCGTTAACCTCCTCTCCCTGTTTCCCGCCGTTCCTTCTCCCCTTCCCGCTCCTCCTCCTCCTCCTCCTCCCGGTCCTCATCCCACTCCTCGTCCCGCTCCTCTTCCCCCTCCTCCTCCCTCTCCTTCTCCCGCTCCTTCTCTCGCACCTCCTCCTCCTCCGCTCCTCCTCCTTCTCCCGCTCCTCCTCCCGCTCCTTCTCCTGCTGCTTCTCCAGACCCCTTATCCTTTGTTTTCCTCAATCAATCAATCAATCAATCAATCAATTGATTGATTGATTGATTGATTGTTTGATTGAAAAAAAAAAACAAAAAAGGAGAACGGACCGATCTTTTTTTGTTTCCTGATCAATCAATCAATCCATCCATCCATCCATCCATCCATCCATCCATCCATCCATCAATCAATCAACCAACGCTCCCCCCGACCCCTTTCCTCCTTTCCCTCCTTCCGCTTTCCCTACCTGCCTAACCCCCTCCCTGTTTCCCCTCCTGCTCCTCCTCCTGCTCCTCCTCCTGCTCCTTCTCCTCCGCCTCGTCTGCCCCTTCCCGTTTCCCCTTCCGCTCTTCCTCCCGCTCCTCCTCCGGTGCCTCTCCGCTCCTTCCCGTTTCCCCTCTCGCACCTTCTCCCGGTCCTAACCTCCTCCCTGTTTCCCCTTCCGCTCCTTCTCCCGTTCCTTCTCCCGCTCCTCCTCCCGCGCCTCGTCCGCACCTTCCTCCCGCTCCTCCTCCCGCTCCTTCTCCCTCTCCTCCTCCCGGGCCTCGTCCACCCCTTCCCGTTCCCCTTCCGATCCTTCTCCAGCTCCTCCTCCCGCTCCTTCTCCAGCTCCTCCTCCCGCTCCTCCTCCTTCTCCCACTCCGTCCACTCCTCCTCCCAACCCTTCTCCCGCTCCTCCCACTCCTCGCCCCCGTCCTCCTCTCGCTCCTCCTCCGGCTCCTCCTCCCGCTTCTATTCCCGCTCCTCCGCCAAACAACGTGACAAAGATCCCGCCATAGATCTCCTAAGAGAAGAAGAAAAGAGAAAAGGCGCGCCACGTGGGTAGCCAGAGAGAGAGAGAGAGAGAGAGAGAGAGAGAGAGAGAGAGAGAGAGAGAGAGAGAGAGAGAGAAAGAGAAAGAGAGAGCCTGACCTCCCGCTGCTTCTCCACCACAACTTTGTCCTCCTCCCCCTCCTTCTCGCGCTCCTCCTCCTGCGCCTCGTCCGCCCCTTCCTCCCGCTCCTCCTCCCGCTCCTTCTCCCGCTCCTCCTCCGGCGCCTCATCCACCCCTTCCCGTTCCCCTCCGGTCCTTCTCCAGCTCCTCCTCCCGCTCCTTCTCCAGCTCCTCCTCCTGCTACTCCTCCCGCTCCTCCTCCTTCTCCCACTCCTTCTCCCGCTCCTCCCGCTCCTCCCCCCCACTCCTCCTCCCGCTCCTCCTCTGCCAAACAACGTGACAAAGATCCGGCCATAAATCTCCTAAGAAAAGAAGAAAAGAAAAAAGGCGCACCACGTGGCTAGCCACAGAGAGAGAGAGAGCCTGACCTTCCCCTGCTCCTCCACCACAACTTTGTCCTCCTCCCGGTCCTTCTCCTGCTCCCCCTCCTGCTGCCTCCCCCCCGCTTCCCCTCCCGCTCCTCCCGCCCCTCCTCCCGCGCCTCCTCTGCCCCTTCCCCGTGCCAAGTCCCACTAGCGTCCTGTAGTTGTAGTAACCTGCAACAGCGGGACAAGATTGAGTGGAGGGAAAGTTGTGTAAAACGAGTTTAGGCGAGGAAAGTTTCTCCCTTTTACTGTGTCCATTAGATTCTGACAGATCCAAGGTGCTCTGTTACTTTGGCTCTCACCTTTCGCCCAGAGAATGGAGGCCGTAGTTCTTACTTTGTGAAGGGAGAAGCACTGCCATCATTGTATTGACGTTATCGAGTAGGGCTCGAACTCAGGATCTGTTGACACAGATTTGCTGGTGGATCTCATGACGAGGATGGAGGAGCTCTGACCTCTGACGCTCCAATAGAAAATGGGCTCTGACAGAGGAAGGACAAGTAGAGAAGAAAAAGTAAAGAAAAAAGGGAAAGTCACCGCTTTCCTACCTACAACTCCGCGATGTTAGTGGGACTTGCCCCCCGGTTCCCCTCCCGCTCCTTCTCCAGCGACTCCTCCCACTCCTCCTCCTGCTCCTCCCGCTCCTATAATTATTTATTTGTTTTGACTGCACTTGAACTTAGCCAAAAGGCCGAGAATGGTATGGGATGTATCAAATTGTATCTTGGATTATCTGCTGATTTTCCAGTTGACTCTATTCTTGTTTTTGGGACGCCTGTTCAAACTGCACCTACTTGAAGGCCATCCTCCCTTGTTGCTGCCCCAGGGTTTCGGATTCCTTTTGCGGCTGTTGAGTGCTGTCGAACTTTTTGGGCTTGGTGTTGATGCAGGGCCAGGTCTGCAACCTGCTGCTGGAGCAACAGCTCTTGGTCGTCATGTGGTTCACATTCTGCCTAGTGTTGCTGTCATAGCTGGGAGTGCCTTCCTTGTGTCTGCTGCATAGAACTACTACCGTCTTCCCCCGAACATAACGCATATGCATTGTAAACGAATACAACACACAGGGTGCGTTGTATTCGAACGAATACAACACAGGGTGCGTTGTATTCGAATACAACGCATACGCGTTCTATTCGAATAGCCCTAAATTTCGAATACAACACACATGCCCTTTGTTCTATTTTTTTTTTCAAATTTTGAAACTCAAATACAATGCGCATATGCATTACGTTCGGGGGAAGAAGGGTAGGCCGCAGCTGAATGTGGTTCAGGTGCATTGGTTCTTGTTGACGCAGGCTAATCTGTTACTGCTGTTGGGCTTGCCGGGTGGGTACATTCTGCACCTGGTCATCTTATACGGTGCATGCATCGCTCCTGACAGTGTCGGTTTGAATTCTTTTGCTCACCCCTTGGTTGCTCAGTCGAAGTGCTCTGGGATAGACTAAGCTTGGTCGCAGTTCGTGGATTGAGGTGTTTGAAATGACAGTTGGCGGCCCTCATTGGGCTGAAGAGGTGGCCTACAACTCATTATTTATTTCTCCTTATTCTTGATGGACCTTTTGCATTACATATGAACAGGGGACGCTGAACCCGTTTTCCAGCAGGTGACACTCCCCACCAATAGAATGGAGTTCCAAGCCAAGATGGTAGGAGTGGGTGCCCTTATCACCACTCCTAACCATCCTGGAGGATTTGTTTTTGTTTTTTTTTCTTGAAAAAAAGAAGAAATAAGAATTGATAGTTGTTGGCGTAAATACAAGTCGGTGTTCTTGATTTGATAAGTAGAGCAGTTGACGGCTTATAGTAATCTAAATTTGGATAGAAATTTGGGTAACCCATCAGTTGCAGGGCATACTCACCGTAGGACGTTTTGGACTGAGCTGTGGACGTGATTGCGGACAGATGCATCCAGGTCTGGCCGTAATAATTGCAGACTTGGGACTTGAGTATTAATATCACAGTACAACCACATTGCAAAGCGTGGATCTCCGAGCTACAGACCTTCTCCCTCACATACGCTCAACCTGTATGAGCATCACTGCTTCTACTAAAATATCCTTAGCTCGGTGCCCTTCCTTCCACGTCGTAATTGCCGTCAGGTACATTTATAAAAGTGGTCGTGTGAGTACGCCCTCAGATTGAGACAAGGCCTAGGATCCCTGCTGCCTTGTTGCTCGGCCAGCGTTGTTCTTTGCTTTTTATAAGGGGAGTACGTGTTAATCTTTGCCATTTATATGGGAAGTACTCTTTTCATGAATTGGTTAAGTACAGTAATTCCTTTGTGAGATGTATCTTACTTGCTCTGCACGCACTGGTCGCGCAAAGCATGCTGGGATTTGGGTGGTGGGGAGGTGTTCCCCAGCTTACCCTTCTGCGACGGGGTCGCACAGGTGGGGGTGAGTGCCTTTGGGCTAAGGGGGCCAAATACTTGGTTGGATTTGACGCATCCTGCGGGTGAGGGGGCTAACCGGTAGGATGGGAATAGTGCATAACAGCAAAGGAGATGATGGCTCTGCTGTGGGAAGTCTTGCCGAAGTGGGGTTAGGGGTGGAGGGATGGTTCTGGTGAGCTGAGCGCGACCGGTGCTGGTAGGAGCTGGAGATCTGGAAGCAGGGGATTTTGCTGGCGTTTTGCAGGTTATCTATCGTTGTGCTGAGACCATTGCGTTCATATGCTCACGGACGACCAATGCCACAACGACGCTGGCCGGTGCTGGGGTTTGGACGTGCTGCCCTGTAACCCGAGCTAGGCGGGGGCATGAGGCCTCGTAGAGAGATTTGGGGAAGTGCCGAGGGTGGAAGGGAGGCTTTCAAGAGGCTACCCTCAAGCTGGTACGAGGATGACGCCGGCCGGAGCTGGAGTGGGTCGTGCTGCCCTGTAGCCTAACATGTTGGGGGCGCGAGGCCTGGTAGAGTCTTGGTATCAACGTCATGAGGGCTGGGGGCGGTGGTAGTTTAATCTATTGAATTGCAGTTGGATAGCTTGGTTTCGGTTCTCCGGGCTCTTCTTCTTATGTTCCAAGGATACTTCAGGATTCAGAAGGTTCCCCTAGCAGCTAAGTTGAAGACATTCTGGAGCCGTCAGGTTCAGAGATCTGCAGTTGCTCGATGCCAGAACGACACTGGCCCGTGCTGGGGTGTTGCCCTGTAACGTGTTATTGGCGGGGTTGTGAGGCCTGGTAGAGAGGTCTGGGGATGCCTTGNGTGCTGGGGTGTTGCCCTGTAACGTGTTATTGGCGGGGTTGTGAGGCCTGGTAGAGAGGTCTGGGGATGCCTTGAGGCGGGCATTCTAAGGGGCAATCGGGGTTGCTGTCAGGACAACGCTGGTCGGAGCTGGGCGAGTCGTGCCGCTCTGTAACCTAGCAGGGTGGGGGTGTGAGGCGTGGATGAGTGCGGCAGGGAACAGGATGGCTTTGGTGGTTTGGTTGAATCACATCCGTTAGGCAATTTTTGGGGTACTGAGTATGTGTATGATGTTTGTGGATTGTTGAAGTTTGAAACATTGAAGCTGTTCATTCTTAGGTGCTGATTGGTTGTAGGCTCCTCAGTAATCGTAGCTGTCCCCTTGATGGTTCTCATGGGTATTTCTGCCGCCTTCAGGTAGCTACGAGGGTTTCTGGCAGCTCATTTAAGGCCCTTCCATTGCTGTCCTGTTCAGGAATCTGTGGCTGTCCGATGCCAGAACGACACTGGCCGGTGCTGGGGCGTTGCCCTGTAACTTGCTGTTGGCAGGGGCGTGAGGCCTGGTAGAGAGATCTGGGGATGATTTGGGAAGGGCATTCCTGGTAGAGAGATCTGGGGATGCTTTGGGAAGGGCATTCCAAGGGAGAACTGGGGTTTGGTGTTGAGATGACGATGGGCGGAGCTGGGGTGAATCGTGTTGCCCTGTAACCCAGCAGGTTGGGGGTGTGAGGCCTGGAAGAGCGTGGCAGAGAATAGACAGCTGTGGAAGGTTTTGGTTTTGGTCTGTTGGGTAATCCTTAGGCTTTCAGGTATTTGGGCTGCGGATTTAGTGGATTTTAGAATCTCAAAATATGCTAGTAGTTGTTTCTGTGAGCCGTTTTTCTCAGCCGAAGCCGGGTAATGGCCTCGGCATCTTAAATTGTTCTTTTACTTCTGTATAGATTTCATTTGGGACTCTGGGCCCGGTTCCCAGCACGTGCTGCTCCCCACAAATAGATTGGTGCCTTGTTCCCACTTTAAACGAACAAACAAACAAAAAAAAAGGTTAAGTACCCTCTCACAATCCTGTACCCTCTCACAATCCTAGGACAGATTCATTCACTACTATGTTTCAAAATTAGGAACTTGGAAATTGGTAATGGCCTGAATTCAAATGTTGATAAAAAATCATAAAATTGGTAGTGCTACTGTAGTTCAATTTTCTTTGGTATTGATTTCCATACGAGGGAAGGGTTGTGGATTATTGCAG